GGGGTTTCACCTGTGGTAGCCAGGATGGGTCTCGATCTCCTGACCTTCGGTGATCCGCCCGTCTCGGCCTCCCAGCTGGGATTACAGGCTTGAGCCACTGCACCTGGCCCAGCTATAGGCCTTTTAAGGCCTTGTATAACTGGCTGCCTCCTCAGAGTCTCCAGAATTTCCGAGTAAAAACTATCTCTTTGATCGAACGTTCTCCGAAGCATTTCTCAGAGGCTACTGTGTAGTATTATAGAGGCGGCGGCCTCCGCCGGTATGCGTCCACAGCAGGAGCCATGTCTTGTTCATCTCGGTGCAAAGTAGTGATAGTCATCGAGGAGCTTGGGCGCTGGGAAATGCTTAGTGTGATAAGTTCTGCAGGGGTGGCTGGGTTTATGGTGGCTCCTGGAGATGACACCTGGCCCAGCTAGTCTGTTATACTGCGCCCCCCTCCACGCTCCTTAGGCGGCGGCGCGCGAGGACCCACAGGGATGAGTTCCTAACTCTTTTTAAAATAGATTAATTAAGTATTAATTATTATTATTTTTTTTGAGACGGATTCTGCTCTTGTTGCCCAGCTGAGTGCGGGGTGTGATCTCAGCCACTGGCAACCTCTACCACTTCCTGGGTTCAAGTGATTCTCCTGGCTCAGTCCGCCCAAGTAGCAGGGATTACAGCATGGCGCCACTATGCCCGTCTATATTTTTTGTTTATTTATGTTAGTAGAGACTGAGTTTCTCCACGTTGCTCTAGCTTTGTTGCTCAAACTCCTCTATCTCTCTAATGTGTATCTAATCTCATCTCTCCTCTCCTCTCCTAATGTTATGTGTCTCTGTTTTTTTTTTTTTCGAGAGTGCTGTGATCGTACACGCATGAGCCACTGCGCCCGGGCCAGTTACTTTTTTTTTTTTTTTTTTTTGAGACAGGGTCTGGCTCTGTCGCCCCAGGGCTGGGCAACCGGCTCACTGCAATCCTCCGGCCTTGCGGCGGTTCAACGAATTCTCATGCCTCAGCCTCCTGAGTAGCTGCGACCTACAGGCGGTGTACACACCACACCCGGTTGATTTTTAGTGGTTTGGTAGAATGGGGTTTCACCATGTTGGCCGAGCTCGAGGGATGGGTCCTAACTCTGTAAAGCTCCATCTCCTGGGGCCTAAATGGACTCTTAAGTGTTTTGGTTCTAACTCTGGAGGATGAGGTCACCCGGGGGGACTCTAAGCACACCAGGTGGCTGCGATCACGGTTTTGTTTCTCGCATAGTAATTACGGGGAGGATGAGGACATCTGAGCCCTGGATGGGGCTGGGGTCCAGGCCTGGGAGGGGTCCTTGGAGGGTGTTTGTCTAGAGTTGGGTGGATGAAGGGCAGTGGCGAGGGTTGAAGATTCAGAACGAAAGTATTTTCAAAGCGTGCTTTTCTGTTTGTTTGTTTGTTTGAGACAGAGTCTCTCTCTGTTGCCCAGGCTGGATGTAGTGGGACATCTCAGCGCACTGCAACGCCCACCTCCAGCGTTTCAAGTGATTCTCTTTCTCAGGCCTCCCAAGTAGGCCTGGGGAGTTGCATGCGTGCGCAGTGTGCACCACCACGTCCAGCTAATTTTTGTATTTTTAGCAGAGACTGGGTTTCACCGTGTTGGGCAGGCTGGTCTTGAACTCCTGACCTCAGGTGATCCTCCCGCCTCGACCTCCCAAAGTGCTGGGATTACAGGAGTGAGCCACTGTGCCTGGCCTCAGAGGTGCTTTCAAACTGCTCCCTGCCACACACCCCATAATCCACAAGGTCATCTCAGCCTGGCGCAAGAGCCCCATATCTAGGGGCTGAAGCAGCCTTGAGATATTTACTCAGAGTCCGGGGCCCCAGCCCTGATCAGGTGGCTGGTGAAGTCAAGCAGAAAAACCAGTTGGTTTGATGTTTCCACTTGAACGTTCCAGAGAAAGAGGTGGGCTCAGGGGAGGCATCGTTGCTACCTGGCCAGGAAGCTTGCTGTCGGTTGGCGAAGGCCTCCTTCTGGGGGAGGCCAGAGGGGAGGCCTTCCGGAGCCCCTGACCTGCGGAGGTGAAGGTGGGAGGTGAAATGGACTATCGCTCTTTGGAGGTCGAGTCTACACCACCCCATCCATGTTCCCAGCCTTCCTGTGAAGTGGGAGGGTGCCGTCCTTATTTTGCTGATGAGGAAAGAGAGG